AATGTTTACTCTGTTCCACAACTCTCTGAACCAGTTAAACCAAGTAAGTTTGTTAGCTATGTATTCATTGACTATAACTCACTGAGCAGGCGTTGAAGTAACGAAGGCACCCGAACCAAGTACTTCTGAAGGTTCCAAAACTTACGCTGTTCCTGAGGTAACTACCGAAGCTCCAGTTTTTGAGGATCCAGCTGTTGATGTTACCGAGGCTCCTGAACCAACAACTTCTGAATCCTCTAATGCTTACTCTGTTCCCGAGGTAACTACCAAAGCTCCAGTTGTTGAAGAACCCGCTGCTGATGTTACCCAAGCTCCTGAACCAACTACTTCGGAAGCTTCCAACTCATACGCTGTTCCTGAAAAAACTACCGAAGCCCCAGTTGTAGAGGAACCAGCTGCTGATGTTACCGAGGCTCCTGAACCAACAACTTCTGAATCCTCTAATGCTTACTCTGTTCCTGAGGTAACTACTATTGTTCCAGTTGTAGAAGAGCCAGCTGCTGATGTTACTGAAGCGCCTGAACCAACTACTTCTGAAGCTTCCAACTCATATGCTGTTCCTGAGGAAACTACTCAAGCTCCAGTTGTTGAAGAACCTGCTGCTGATGTTACCCAAGCTCCTGAACCAACTACTTCGGAAGCTTCCAACTCATACGCTGTTCCTGAAAAAACNAAGCTCCTGAACCAACTACTTCGGAAGCTTCCAACTCATACGCTGTTCCTGAAAAAACTACCGAAGCCCCAGTTGTTGAAGAACCAGCTGCTGAAGTTACCGAAGCTCCTGAACCAACAACTTCTGAACCAACAACTTCTGAATCCTCTAATGCTTACTCTGTTCCTGAGGTAACTACTACTGTTCCAGTTGTTGAAGAGCCAGCTGCTGATGTTACCGAAGCTCCTGAACCAACTACTTCGGAAGCTTCCAACTCATACGCTGTTCCTGAAAAAACNGCTGTTCCTGAAAAAACTACCGAAGCCCCAGTTGTTGAAGAACCAGCTGCTGAAGTTACCGAAGCTCCTGAACCAACAACTTCTGAATCCTCTAATGCTTACTCTGTTCCTGAGGTAACTACTACTGTTCCAGTTGTAGAAGAGCCAGCTGCTGATGTTACTGAAGCGCCTGAACCAACTACTTCTGAAGCTTCCAACTCATACGCTGTTCCTGAAAAAACTACCGAAGCCCCAGTTGTTGAAGAACCAGCTGCTGAAGTTACCGAAGCTCCTGTACCAACTACTTCTGAAGCTGCCAACACTTACGCAGTTCCTGAAAAAACTACCGAAGCGCCAGTTGTAGAGGAACCAGTTGCTGATGTTGCTGAAGAAGTTGTTGAGCAAACCGTCGAACCCAAAGCTGTTTATGAAGTATATAAGCCATCCGAAGGCTTAGAAGAAGACGAAGAAATTGAAGAACGACCAGAACCTGTTGCGTTCTATAGCGGTTACGTACCAACAACTTCTGACGGAGATTCTGAAATCGATGAAGAACCAACTACGGAAGCTTCTGAACCATCTACTTCCAAATCCTCTAACGCGTACTCTGTTCCTGAAGCAAGTACTGAAGCTCCAGTTGATGAAGAACCAGCTGCTGACGTGACCGAATCTGCTGTACCATCTACTTCCGAATCTTCCAACGCTTACGCCATCTCTGAGGAAACAACCGAAGCTTCGGGGGTCGAAGAGCCCGCTTCTGACGCTACTGCATCCGTTGAGGAAACCACTTCTACTGTTGCTGCTCAGACTGAAACTTCCAAGTATGTTTTAATTGTTACTATTTTATTATGTTTTCCCTCAGATATATCTTGAACGAAGAAGCTGCAAGAAAATATTGGGAAGAGAGAATTGCCGCAATGAAGGCTACTACTGCCGCTCCAACACCTGCATCAGACGTTCC